AGCTCCCAGGTACTCACATGATCCTCTTTCGCTTTTGCCTTCACAAAAGGAGTAGAGCTGACACGTCAAAACTCTGTTCTAACCCGATGGGATAAGCACTTTGATGGAGGCATCACAAAGTTTACAGGAATACAGTGAAGGCTGTGTGTGTTCTGCCAGACAGGGTAGCAGGAAAACCTCTCATAAACTTGTTAGTTATGAAATTAATAAATTGACTACTTTTAAATTAACAGGTAACATTTGGGTCTTGAAATGTAAGTAGGAGTTCTCCAGGGAATGGCACCTGAAGCTGGAGAAACCTTAAGCAAAAGGACACAGTGAAAGAATAAGGCAGTGGATGCCCACGTGCTTGGGAGCCCACTGCTGTGGGTCAAGGCTCAAAGCCACAGAAGTTTGGTGCATCTCCCAAGGATGTTCATTTTGCTTAAAAAGTTGTGTAAAATAAGCTAGATAATAGGAAATTAAAGGCATTCTTAAAAATTACACCTGGCCCGCGTGGCTCAGGGGCTGAGCATCTGATCTATGGACCAAGAGGTCACGGTTCAATTCCCAGTCAGGGCGTATGCCTAGGTTGCTGGCTTGATCCCCAGTGTTGGGCATGCAGGAGGCAGCCAATCAAAGATTCTTTCTCATCGTTGATGTTTCTATCTCTCTTTCCCTCTCCCTCTTCCTTCCTTCCTCTCTGAAATCAATAAAAATATTTTTTAAAAATTAAATTAAAAATAAAATTAAAATAAGCACGAATGTTATGCAATAGAAGGCAAGATGGGCACAAATACAGGGGTGGTGGGCAAAAGCAGGTTCCCAGTTGTTTGTCTGGAAAAAGACATGCAGGTTCTGATTGTTACAACAGCTTTATTAACTCAAGAGAATGACACAATGGCACAGTGCACTTATGTCCAACTCGTTAGTGCTCACATTGCCAGCCGTCATTACACAATAATAACAATATGAAATAACAATAAGAAAACAAATAATACAAATAAGTAATACAATACTTAACAAGTAAGTGATATAAGAATAAACGGTTTCATGTACTCAGAACTGTAACCCTACAGTTGCCCACCCCAGTATTTAAGATGAAGCTTTAACCCTCAAAGAATGATTGTGCGTATGGGGTGCTGTCTTCTGCCACAGACAGGGATCAAGGGGTCTTGCTCTGTCTCGCCCGTCATTCAGGGCACTCAGGGGGAAGGGAGGAGAAATCTGACACACACAACGGGGATCAGGAGTGATGTGAGGCAGACTGGGGGCAGATGAGGCAGGCAGCAGGGGCACATTCTGAGGAGCTTCGCAGAACATAGGAGTGGGCCTGGCTATACCTGTAGGTGGCAGGGAACCCTGGCAACCTGCCCAGACAAGGTGGATATGCTGCTGAAACTGCACCGTGACCCCACCCTCCATAGCCTTGCTGTCTGGGCAGCACAACTAACGCACAGTACCCCACCACCACCACCACCCTGCGACTCCCCTGCTCCAAACTGTCATGGCTCCTCGTGCTGCTGAGTCAAGTCCAAACTATACACGATCTCCTGCTACAATGTGGAGAATGGAGTGCACAGCAAAATGCTGGCAGTGGGGAGATGGGCGAGGGACCTGGTGGATGTCAGAGGTGCACGAGGGAGCACAGTAGGGGGAGAAGCGGAGCGTGTGTAAGGTCCTCCTTATCCTCTCACTCCGCTTGCACATTTGCTTTATCTTTCCCACGAAGACATGTTTTGTTCATCCCATTCCTTCCACCTGGCATGTCCTCCCCTGGCCCCGCCCCCTGCTGCTGGAAGGGCACCTGTCCTTCAGGATCCAGCTCAGGTAACACTGGAGGTCTTACACCAGCATGCACTTTGCACCATCTCTAAGCTCTCCCTGCAAGGTGAGCAGGAGTAGCTCCATTTTGCAGAAAAGGGAATTGAACGACACAGTGGAGCCCAGCCTCTGAGCTGAGCGCACACTGATGGCCCGTGGGGGCTGCCCGGCCTCGGGGCTGCGGTCTGCCCAGTGCTCACAAAGGAAGTTACACCTGAGGCCCTTCATCTGGGCTTTTCCTTCCCACCACCTCCTTCAACCAATCCCCAAGTCCTGTGTCTCCACCCCCACTGCCATCTGTGGTTAGGGCCTCTGTCATTCCCCCCTCCTGCCCCAGCATCATTGCCCTGAAATCCATTCTCTGCATTGCAGCCCAGGGGGTGATTCTAAAATGCTGAGCTGGTCCGATCTTGTTCCTGCATAAAATCTTTCAATGCTCACCTCTTATTCAACCACAAACACATACTGAGCATCTACCCTCTGCTAGTTGCCCATTTAGCTGGGGGGATACAGTAGTCAACAAAACAAAGCCTGCTCTCCTGAAACCCAAACTCCTCAAGCACTAGCTACTTGAAAGGCAGCCTCTGGGCCCGCCTTGCTTTCCAGCCTGCTGGTGCCCACCCCCCTGGCATTTTCCACTCCAGGCATGCTGAACCTCCTGTGATCTCCCAGACACCGCTGGCTCTCTCTCCCCTCTGGGCCTCTGCATATGCCCTCCCCCCTGCGGGGAGCATCCTCTCCCTACTCATCATGCTGTCACTTGGCTGCTATCTCACATTCTTCCTCCCTGTCTCAGCTTCAAGGTCACCTCCTCCAGAGAGCCTTCCTTAACCTCCTAAGGCCGTAGGTGCCCTACTATGTGTGTTGATGGAATCTTGTGTTTTCCTGACTCTCCTTGAAGGCAGAGACCGTGTTTTATTTATTTTATGTATTTCTGTATGCCCAAAGCATGCACAGTGTCGGAGGCCTCTGTACGGCTTGTTGGTTGCATGAATAGTAGAAGCAGCCAGTTCGGACTGGGACCTCACGTGCAGTGAGACATCTCCTGGTATGAACACCCTGAGGCTGCCTCTCCTGGGCTCCTGAAGATTCTTAGGGGCCAATGGGGAACAGGAACAGAGCAGAGGGGGGTGAAAATGGATGCTGGGCTGCTATCCCGCCTCCCTCCCGAGTCTCATTCCCCTCCCCCGCACCTGCCTCCAAACTGCAGTGTGCATCCAAATTCAATGTGGTCAGGCCCTGAGCACCACCAGTTCATTTCAGCATCTGGATGACGGAAATGGAGTTTTCTTTTTTTGCCAGACCATGAGGACTCTTTCTATCAGCTTATAGAATTGTCACAGGGGTTGGTGTTACTGGGGACGTTTTGGGGGGTCTCTGTGCCTAGATGTGTGTCTGGGAGAGGTGAGAAAGTGAGAGGGGGGTGCAGCACTGGGTCAGTTCAGGAGGCCAGTGTCCTTCAGCTTGTCCATCCTGGTAAGCAATTTTCAGGTCTGCTGGGTTTGGGCACCTGCCGACAAGGCTATTTTAAAGCACATAAGATCTGAAAATAGACCGAGTAGGGCTGTGGCGCGGAAGTCTGGTTTGGCAGGGACTGCTCCTCGTGATTAGCATTGTCACTGTGGGCCCTGCAGCCAGGAGGAAGCTGGAAAGAGACAAGGTTGGAGAGGAAAAGCTTTACCCTCAGGCCTCCTCCCTCCTCCCTTCAGGACACTCAGTTACACACCCAGGCACTTCTCCTGCTTCTTCCTGGAGCCTGCAGGATGGGGTAGCAGGCAGAGAAGCACCTGATTTCAATAAAAGCTAGCACCCAACTTACCCCCAGCCCCTCCCCATTCCAGGGCCCTACCAGCACCTACAAGCCAGGTGGCCTCTCCCTGACCCAGGCAGCCAACACCCGCTAGCAGGGAGCTTCTGGCCTCTGCCTCATTCTCAGCCTACACCCCGAGCCATTCTGCCCCACCTGCCTTGTATTCTGGTTCCTAATCACCTGGGAACTGACCTCTGACCTCCTGCTCTGTATCTGGCTCTGCTCTTGTTCAGTGTGGTCTAACCCTGGATTATGCTCATCTGGTCCGGCCTTTTTTCCCCTTATTGAAGACTAGAGGCCCAGTGCTCTAGAGGGTCCCTAGAGTGGCTGCTGGCTGCTGGCTGGGACCTCCTTCCCTTCCCCTGGCCGGCCCCGCCCCCTAGTCGAACTCCCAGTGGAGGGGACAATTTGCATACTACACTTTTATTATATAGGATAGTTTGCATTTGTGTCCCAGACCACATGCTCTGGAATCCAGGAGTACACCTGAGGTGCCTGGAGGAGCAGGCGTCTGGGCAGACTCCCTGGCTCCGAGGTTTACCTGCTATGAGCTGAATCACCATGGTGAGTTTCGGAGCCTCCCCAGCCTTGGCTTCTTCATTTGTAAAATGGGGACCATATAGCACCAGCCTCATGAGAGTGCACCAATATTAACACAGAGTTCCATGAGGAAAGTAGAGATGGTACAGTTGGGAAAAACGTTTATCCATCCATCACTCTGTTCATCCTTGCAAACATTAGATTATTGCTATGTTGGAAATTGGTGTTAGGCACTTTGGAAGACACAAATGTGTGTGAGGGGAGTGGGGTGGGAGGGTAATGGTTGGAGAAGGAGAATTATTGCATAATACATTTGTTGTACATGGCTAATTTTGCCTCCTGACCTTTTTTTTGTTGTTGTTAATCCTCACTGGATGATATTATTTCCATTCATTTTTAGAGAAATTGGAAGGGAGGGAGAGGGAGAAGGAGAGAGAGGAAAACATCGATGTGAGAGACACATTGACTGGTTGCCTCCCACACTTTCCCAACCGGGGCTGGGGATCGAACCTCCAATGGAAGTATGTGCCCTTGACCAGGAATCAAACCCGAGACCCTTCAGTGCGTGGGCCGATGCCCTATCCACTGAGCCACACCAGCCAGGGTTGCCTCCTCATCTTTATCCTGTGCTTTTTATTTGTCTAACCATTAGAAAAACATATGTGCCCTTGACCAGGAATCAAACCCGAGACCCTTCCGTGCGTGGGCCGATGCCCTATCCACTGAGCAACACCAGCCAGGGTTGCCTCCTCATCTTTATCCTGTGTTTTTTATTTGTCTAACCATTAGAAAAATGGATTCTAATAAGGGGGCATCCTATGACATATCTGACCTTTACTCCCCAAAGTGTCAAGGTCATCTGCAACAAAGAAAGTCTGAGAAACTGTCACAGCCAGAAGGGGCCCAGGAGACATGACAACCAGAGGTAACGTGGCATCCTGCATGGATACAGGAACTTTTTGACATTGTTAACAAAAAGTTAAAAACCAAGGAAACCTGAATAAAGTATGTACTTCGGTTAATAATCATATATTTTTAAATCCAGTTCCAATAAAATAATATTCTCCTTCCTCATCAGGGATGGGGGGGCCGAGGGTTGGGATAAAAAGATATTCCGAGGTCACAGTAGGGTAGCAAATGTGCAGGAGCCCAAAGAGGAGACCTCAGCCCTGCTTGGCCCCCAGCTGTTATTTCAGCCTGAGATCCATCATCAATCAGAGGAGCATGGCATGAACCCTCAGGCCAGTGAGAATCAAAGGTCCTGGACCAGACCAGGGTCTCCCCGCAGGGTGCAAGCCCATCTCAGACCAACTGTTTTAAGCCATTTCTTAAGGCCAGGCCTCCATCTCTCATTCACCACCTTCAAATGGCCATAGATTTTGCTTAGCGAGATTTAAAAGCAACCCCCTCCACCTTGTTAAGTTTCCCTTTTCATTACAGGGGGAGACGTGCCTTTATTGGACACAGCCTCTCTGCAGCACACTTCCCTCTGTTGGGCAAATTAAAAGCATTTGGATGAAACTCTTCCGTGGTCCCAATCAATAGCTCAAGCCGTAATTATTCAGCAGGCTTGGAGTTTTCTCTGCTGACAGCTGTCGCAGTGTGCTGATCTGTAATTGTTTCATAAGCTCATGTGGCTTATCGCTCCATGATTGGGGTCTGCAGCAGATTCATCCACGGCATCTTTGGGAGAGAGGGGAATGGACTTTTCCACACCTAAATTCTCTCAGGCCTCCACCTTTCTCCAGGGAGATGTTAACCACAGGTGGGTGGGGCTGTTTATTTTCTTACTGTTATCCACCTGAGGCAGAACCGAGAAACACCTTTGAGAGACTCCAAAAACACCCATTTTACAGGATCATCGTGTCATGTCAGGCTTCAGATTGTGGATGCTGGCTATGTATCTGAGAAGCAGTAAACAATCAAATCTTATTAGCTGCTATTTTACTAATTCCAGAGTTAACTGACGGTTTGAATGGGATGTGGATTATTTCTCAAGCAGATGTTTCCCTGAAGGATAGTGTAACTTTATGTTGTTAACAAAACTGCGATGTTTAAGATATTTCAGAGGATTAGCTTTTTCAACATCGCTTGTCAGTCTTTTGAAAGTGCCCAGTCACACACAGTCAATCTATTCCTGCCAAATCCTTCCAGAGTCTAATAGTTGAGACACCAAACTCCATCCCTGGCTCTGTGTTTCACTAGACATATTACTTAGTTTTCTTTCTTAGTTGGCTTTGTTTTGTTTCTCTCTAAAATAGCTATATGTCTTGTCAACTTCACAGGTATGGTAAAGAAGTGAAATAAAAGATATGGCTGAGACTTTTAAGTATAAAAAATACAAAGTCTAATAATTATTTCACACATTACAGAGAGTATTTTAAACACCTATGGTTACTTTCTGGTTTATTATGTTTTTAATGTTTTGCCTTTTTTTTTTTAGGCTTACTCCACATCCTTGAAAGTGATCAGCTAATTATTGTAAGACAACACATGTATCAAGTTTGGCTCTATTAGAACTCACAAACAATTCGATCTAAAAATGTCTTTTTACATGAAAGGGAACATAAAAAAAAACAATGGGAATTTTTTGTGAACCGAGCCCAGATACCTTGTACCAGTTACACTGATTTTAAGTATTATCCAAGGCTACATTGGATCAAAGGCACCTTACGAGGGATGTCATGAATGGCTGCTCATTGGATTCAAAGCTGAGAAGCATCCACAGTCCTGGGTGCTCCTCTGAAGAGGCTGAGGTTCCTGAGGCTCTGTTTGCTTTTCTGTAGGAGAATATGGCCTGGAGGCGAAGCAGGACACGGTTCCCACTTAGCGAGGGAATCTCTTTCTAATCCTTCTGAAAACATCTGGGGTTCACCTCCGACATGAACACCCTCACCTGGTTATTATTAAATGCCCACATGCCCATAGTCCTCTAAAAAGCAAGCTGCCCAGAAACCTAAACCAAGGGTGGCATCACCGGGTGCTGATCTGAGCCCCTCGCTAAGTGTTGGACTTTCTCTTCACCACGCCCTTGGAAGAGCCACATCAGTGCCCTTGACCTCATTCTTTTGTTTTTGCAAGAACTGAACCACCTTGGTTAGGGTTTAAGAAGAACCTACCTTATGCCAAATCCCAGAAGCAGACTAGCATCTGTGCCGGAAGACCTGCTCCAAGTCTGTGGAGATCGTTCGGAATCACTGTGCTGTTTTTTCTTTTTTTTTAAATATATTTTTATTGATTTCAGAGAGGAAGGGAGAGGGACAGAGAGATAGAAACATCAATGATGAGAGAGAATAATTGATTGGCTGCCTCCTGCATGCCCTATAGCCCCCAACCCAGGCATATGCCCTGACTGGGAATCAAACCATGACCTCCTGGTTCATAGGTCGATGCTCAACCACTGAGCTACACCAGCCGGGCCACAGTGTTATTTTCATATTCTCAGGTTCAACCTCCATCCACCACCACCGGTTCATCACATTTTTAAAAATTCAACGTGAACATTATTGCATATATTCTCTGAGTCACTCTCTCCGCATGTCGCAGGAAAAATTAATGCAAACCAGTCAAACGTCTCTGGAAACAGAGTGGATTGGGAATAACTGTCTCTTTAAATGAAAGAGAACAGGAAAATGGATAGTTCCAAATCGGAGCATGAGCCATACTTTATCCTGGAAGAATTATTGGAAAGAAAGGGACATATATTTCTGTTGACACTGTATATTAAGTGAACTTTCTAAACCCTATTTGTCAGTATTAAATAAATATGCTCAGAGTTTCCTACCATGTCCTGTATTTCTTGTGGTTTTAAATCAAAGGGATTAAGACTCCTAATTAAGACACTGGAGGAAGGTCCGATCAGTTTTGCCAGTGCAAATTAGTTCAGAGGCCCAGAGCTGCTCCTTTCTGTTTGCTGGTAGGGGAGGTTTGTTTGATTTAACATGATTGAGGAAATGAAATATCCCTAAGACAAAGAACCAATATTGCACTTCTTGAGAGTGGCTGAAGAGAAATTGGAAACTAACGCACATTAGCAGTGGGTCCAAAATATTACCAGAAGGAGAAATGCTATTTAGAAGGAAAGTGATATTACTAGACTAATCCTTTAAAATAGATTGTACATTCTTCTTCCTTTATTATTTTTTTTAAAGAAACATAAATGAGTTAGAATTTCAATTTTCTAACAAGGGCCCATGAGCTTCAGTACATGCCAAGATTTTTTTGTTGGTTTATTTTAAATATTTTTAATTGATTTCAGGGAGGAAGGGAGAGGGAGAGAGAGATAGAAACATCAATGATGAGAGAGAATCATTGATCAGCTGCCTCCCATACTGGTGATAGAGCCTGCAACCCGGGCATGTGCCCTGACCAGGAATTGAACTGTGACCTTCTGGTTCATAAATCGACACTCCACTACTGAGCCACACCAGCCGGCCATGTCAAGTGTTTATATGCATTATCTTGTTAATATTTACAACATTTCTATGAAAAAGTCATTATCACCCCTATTTTGCAGATAAGGAATCTCATTCTCCGAAGGTAGATACTGATTTGAAGTCAAGTGCTCTCAGAGGCTCTTGGTTAATGTTTCTGATTCCATCATCTATTAGGCATGTGGTTAAGTCTGAAGAGATGAAAGATCTTCATTAAGGACAGTACAGGTTTGTTGAGCTTGGGTTTTGCATTTGGTTGGCTTGGGTTGGGTTCCTATTCATTGAATCTAGTTGGGCTACAATGATTCCTCAAGGACAACAGAAAAATGAGCAAGATGCAAAGCTACTCAAGGATCCTCCGCTGAAGTCTGACAACAGACACAGCCCAAAATACCATTTTCTAGTTCTAGTTTGGTCTTGCCTTCTCTGTCCAAGCTCATTTCCTCCTCTTCCCTATTTCCTGGGGGCACAATCCTATACCTACTTATTCAAGAAGGGGCGAGGGGGGACACTCTTACAACTTCTATGCTCAGCAAATTCAGTTGTTTCTTTTTTTCTTTTCTTTTCTTTTTTGGGGGGGGGCTGCAAAAAGCTTTATTGTTTCATTTGGTCCAATGCATGGGAGAGGTCCTCAGGATGGTTAAAAGAATGGCTAGTAGTTTCTGGGAGAGGCTCAGGTAAAAGCCAGACACCAGGGGGATGCAGAGGGGCCCCTCAAAGGCTTCTGGGCTCCAAAGGCTCCTAGTCGTGCTTGAGGGTGAGCCTTTGGAAGAGATACTCACCCAGCCTGGGGGCCGGCCAGCCTGCGGATGTTATTCAGGTGTAGCCCATCTTGATGAGTTTCACCTCCTCATCCAGGAAGTGGTTCTCCCGGAAGTCACAGAGCTGAGGGTCTGCGCGGTAGAACCCAGGGCCTGCAGCTCCAAAGGGCCTGGTTCTGGTTCCTCTCCAAGGCCAGGGTGGCTGCCATGGCATCCTGAGTTTTGCCCCACTCACCCTGGGGAGGTTTCAGCACGTCCTGGGAGAGAATGGGGCCACCGTGCTTTTTTGCAACTTTAAGAGCTGCTCAGTGCCCTCACGCTTCTTCTCCACCAACTCTCAGAAGTGGCCCAGGCCCTCGAGAGCTACATTGTGGCGGTGGAACTAGAAGCCCAGAGAGAGGTAGGTGTATGGGACCTGCAGATGCAGGTTGGCCAGGCGGTTGACGCAGCCTCCACCTTGATGGAATAATTCTGACCAATTTGGGGGCTCATGGTTGTTCGGCAATAAGGAGTTAAGGTAGAAAAACAAAACAAAACCGGGTGTGTTGGCTGGTCATGGAGGAGGTTCTGAAGGTGGGGATTGGGTGAGACGCAGGAGAGTGGCCGGAGGCTGGAAGAAGGGGTGTCCCTGGGTGTGTTCTGTCCAAACACTGTTGAAGCAAGAGACAGATCCATGATCGTGGAGGGCACTCCAGTTGTTTCTTTGTTATTTGCATAACAGTCATCAATAAAAATGAAGTCTTGTGTGGCTGAGGGAAGGGGAGATGAGATCTTTGTGGTGTGTGTTGCACTGTTGGTAATACATGTGTCAGAGGATTGTCACCAATCCCTTAAGGGTTGATCCCATTTTATATCTGAGATGGCCAGTCAGGCTTTGAGAAGGAAGAGGATGAAAGATGGTTTGCTTTAATTTTTGTCAAATTAAGCATTATAATACAGAGCAAACCGAAATCACCCAGTTTCTACTACCCTGGGGTCCTGAGACCTTCATGACTAATGAGCCAAAAATGCATATTACAGATGAAATGCTGGGAATGTTAAGGCCTGGGTATCCATGGGAAACTCCTAATGAGACAGAAATGGGTGGTAACTTTGTGTGGACAACGGGGTCTTGAAAAATCATTCTATACCTGTGGGATCCAGCAGTCTTGGCGGAAGATTCAGACACTATCAATTATTGCCTCCTCTGCTGGTTACCTCATAGAAGCACCGATTTCTTTGATCATCGTGTGACTTCCAGCAATGTGTCAGGCCAGGGTTTCAGATGTGTATTGTTTTAAGGGTGCCCGGGATTTGTTTTAATCAGGTTTCGTGAGACACACAGACCTGGAAAGAACTGCCATAAAGGGAGAATATTTCTGTACTCACAGATCAATAGAGACAGGAGGCACGGCATGCCATGCAGGGGGTGGCTGGGGGGAGGGGAGGGAGTGAACCACAGGGGGAAGCACCAGGTCAGTGAGGAGGCAAGAGCAAAGGGAAATGTAGACAACAGTCTCTATTATGCTTTCCTAGGAAGAAGCAGGTGAGACAGAGTAAGCAGCCTTAGGATTACCTCCTTTGAGTAATTTCACTAGGCTCTGTGGTGGCGGTGCTGTCCCTAGGTGGCTGGTACATGGTCCTAGGTGATTAGGGCAGGGGAATAGTGGCCCTGAATGTGAGAACCAGTAAAGATGCTGGTTCCTGGATTCGTTGGTTTGCATACAAAACTGTGCTCACAGGTGAGTTGTATACTGTCTCTAGGAGTTGGCTAGTCCTGGGAGGGATAGTCCCTCCTGAGTCAGCAAGACCTCTAAATACAAATACAAAATTAAAGTTAAAATACATGGTTCATACATACATATCAACTGCACTTCCTACAGTTCTGGAAGCCAGAGGAAGGGCTAGAGGGTATAGGTCTATGTATGCTGAAGGGATGGGGGAGGGGGGAGCTTGATAATGACTCTTCATTGTGTAAAAGGGTTAATGGCAGAGGGAAAAACATTACTTTTTGTTCTGCTTATTTTTTTTAAGTGTACAATTCAGTAGTTTGAAGTATATTTACAATTAGTGAACTATCATCACTATCTATCAAAAATATTTTCATCATCCCAAATAAGAAACCCTGTACCCATAAACAGTCATTCCCCACTCTCCCTTACCCCAGCTCCTGGCAACCACTAATCTGCTTTCTGTCTCTATGGATTTGCCTATTCTGGACACTTTATATAAATGAAATCACATATTATATGGTTTTTGGGTCTGGCTTCGTTTATTTAGCATAATGTTTTCAAGGTTCATCCATGTTGTAGTATGTATCAGTACTTCATTTCTTTTTATGACCTTACTAGAGGCCCAGTGCATGGATTCATGCACAGGTGGGATGTCTCAGCCTGGCCTGCACCCTCTCGCAATCCGGGACCCCTCGGCCTGCGGGGATCGGGCCGAAACCTGCAGTCCAACATCCCCCCCGAGAAATGTAGCAATGCCAAAGTGGCAGGTGGCTGGGGAGGAGCCCCAGCTGGGGCCAGGTGCAGCTCTGCTGCCACTCATCCCTGGCCCACTCAGCAGCATTGCTGAGGAGGCGGGACAGGCTCCCGCTGCCACACCTGCACTCGACAGCCGTGAGCCTGGCTTCTGGCTGAGCAGCGCTCCCCCTGTGGGAGCGCACTGACCACCAGAGGGCAGCTCCTGCATTGAGCATCTGCCCCCTGGTGGTCAGTGTGCATCATAGCAACTGGTCATTCCACTGTTTGGTCAATTTGCATATTAGCCTTTTATTATATAACTAGAGGCCCGGTGCACAAAAATTTGTGCACTCAGGGGGGGAAGGGGGGGTTCCTCAGCCCGGCCTGTGCACTCTTGCAGTCTGGGACCCCTCGGCAGATAACGACTTGCTGGCTTAGGCCTGCTCCTGGGTGGCAGAGGGCAGGCCCAATCCCTAGGTGCAGCCCCTGGTCGGGCTCAGAGCAGGGCTGATTGGGGAGTTGGGGCACTGCCCCCTGTCATGCACAGAGCAGGGCGGATCGGGAGGTTGTGATGCCACCCCCAGTCACGC